TTTGAGGGCACCTCCGGCTCGGCCGAGGCAGAGGGAGTTGCGGCGGCGCCAGTTCCTGAAGCTGGAGCATCAGCCACGACAGAAGTGGGCGGTGGCTGCTTTGCTTCCTCCTTGGAGGCCACTTTAGAGCCCATGGAGAAGCCCAGTTTGGATTTGGAGGCAGAAGTCGGCGGTGGCTGCTTTGCTTCCTCCTTGGAGGCCACTTTAGAGCCCATGGAGAAGCCCAGTTTGGATTTGGAGGCAGAAGTCGGCGGTGGCTGCTTTGCTTCCTCCTTGGAGGCCACTTTAGAGCCCATGGAGAAGCCCAGTTTGGATTTGGAGGCAGAAGTCGGCGGTGGCTGCTTTGCTTCCTCCTTGGAGGCCACTTTAGAGCCCATGGAGAAGCCCAGTTTGGATTTGGAGGCAGAAGTCGGCGGTGGCTGCTTTGCTTCTTCTTTAGAGGCCACTTTTGAAGGTGGGTTTTCTTCGGCCACTTTTGAAGGTGGCTTTTCTTCGGCCACCTTTGAGGGCACCTCCGGCTCGGCCGAGGCAGAAGGAGTTGCGGCGGCGCCAGTTCCTGAAGCTGGAGCATCAGCCACAAAAGAAGTTGGCGGTGGCTGCTTTGTTTCTTCTTTAGAGGCCACTTTTGAGGGTGGCTTTTCTTCGGCCAAATTTGAGGGCGGCTTTTCTTCGGCCACCTTTGAGGGCACCTCCGGCTCGGCCGAGGCAGAAGGAGTTGCGGCGGCGCCAGTTTCCGAAGCTGGAGCATCAGCCACAAAAGAAGTTGGCGGTGGCTGCTTTGCTTCCTCTTTAGAGGCCGTTTTTGAGGGTGGCTTTTCTTCGGCCACCTTTGAGGGCACCTCCGGCTCGGCCGAGGCAGAAGGAGTTGCGGCGGCGCCAGTTCCTGAAGCTGGAGCATCAGCCACAAAAGAAGTTGGCGGTGGCTGCTTTGCTTCCTCTTTAGAGGCCGTTTTTGAGGGTGGCTTTTCTTCGGCCACCTTTGAGGGCACCTCCGGCTCGGCCGAGGCAGAAGGAGTTGCGGCGGCGCCAGTTCCTGAAGCTGGAGCATCAGCCACAAAAGAAGTTGGCGGTGGCTGCTTTGCTTCCTCTTTAGAGGCCGTTTTTGAGGGTGGCTTTTCTTCGGCCACCTTTGAGGGCACCTCCGGCTCGGCCGAGGCAGAAGGAGTTGCGGCGGCGCCAGTTCCTGAAGCTGGAGCATCAGCCACAAAAGAAGTTGGCGGTGGCTGCTTTGCTTCCTCTTTAGAGGCCGTTTTTGAGGGTGGCTTTTCTTCGGCCACCTTTGAGGGCACCTCCGGCTCGGCCGAGGCAGAAGGAGTTGCGGCGGCGCCAGTTCCTGAAGCTGGAGCATCAGCCACAAAAGAAGTTGGCGGTGGCTGCTTTGCTTCCTCTTTAGAGGCCGTTTTTGAGGGTGGCTTTTCTTCGGCCACCTTTGAGGGCACCTCCGGCTCGGCCGAGGCAGAAGGAGTTGCGGCGGCGCCAGTTCCTGAAGCTGGAGCATCAGCCACAAAAGAAGTTGGCGGTGGCTGCTTTGTTTCTTCTTTAGAGGCCACTTTTGAGGGTGGCTTTTCTTCGGCCACCTTTGAGGGCACCTCCGGCTCGGCCGAGGCAGAAGGAGTTGCGGCGGCGCCAGTTCCTGAAGCTGGAGCATCAGCCACAAAAGAAGTTGGCGGTGGCTGCTTTGTTTCTTCTTTAGAGGCCACTTTTGAGGGTGGCTTTTCTTCGGCCACCTTTGAGGGCACCTCCGGCTCGGCCGAGGCAGAAGGAGTTGCGGCGGCGCCAGTTCCTGAAGCTGGAGCATCAGCCACAAAAGAAGTTGGCGGTGGCTGCTTTGTTTCTNTCGCTTCCTCCTTGGAGGCCACTTTTGAGGGTAGCTTCTCTTCAGCCACCTTCGAGAGCACTTTCGGCTCTGCCGAGGCAGAGGGAGCTGCGGCGGCGCCAGTTTCCGAAGCGGGAACATCAGCCACGGCAGAAATCGGCGGTGGCTGCTTCGCTTCCTCCTTGGAGGCCACTTTTGAGGGTGGCTTTGGTTCGGCCGAGGCAGAAGGAGTTGCGGCGGCGCCAGTGCCCGAAGCTGGAGCATCAGCCACGGCAGAAGGCGGGCGTTCTGAGGGAACGGCAGAGGCAACCGCATCAGCTCCTTCACCGCCGCCACCACCACCACTCAATTTTTC